GACAGTGCCCTCTTGTAAAATGGCATTAATAAACATGTGTAACATCAAAACAGACTGAGGGATTGTGGTTCAGCAGAATGGAACAACAAACATTTTTATTGTACCGTTGAGACATGCTTAGGGAAGAATTAGAGCTTTAAAGCTGCATGAAGTGAACCTGTGAGCGATTGTGTGTGTTTTTTTGTTTTGTTTTTGCTCTCTTGAAATTCTGTAAAAAAAGAAATATTATTTTTTGGTCACTTTGTGAATTTTCTGTACTATGGGTCTAATTCTGTTGGAGAAAAAAGGGGACTTCAAACAAAAGTATAATATAATTATAAATTAACTGAGTAAAAGTGGAGCACAATTTCAGAACGGGCAAAAAGCTTCACAAATGTAAACAAATCCTTCTTTTGCAAAATTATTGGTAGCTCAGAATGATGGTATAAATATGATAAACAGTTGTTGGTGCTTTGTTCAAACATATTTATTTAATTAACTGTTTTTCAAAATAAATAGTCACTTTTATCTTTTTATGAGAAAATGAACTTGATTTTTTTATGTCTTGAACCTGTATTTTAAGTTCTTTAATTAAAGGAAGCTGTTTCTCGCACCACACATTTAACAAATAATTAATATACAGTCAGTTAGTTGCCAGTAGATTAGGTAAAGTCAATCCAAAACAACTGTTACTACCATAACATCTGTCTTTATGAAGTTTATAACGTTGCATAAATAAATATGTGTTTATTATTGTTATTTATATTATTGAGGTCATTGTTAAAGGTAGTGTTGTACTGGACTACATTATATTGAGGGGTGTTTTTGTCCTTCTCATCTATAGAAAACAGGGACAGGATATTAGAACTACCTCTGACTTCAATTCTTAAACCAATAACTTAATCAAACACTTTGACAGAACAGTTGTATAGGACTGCATTAGACTGTTTACCTAATGAAGTAGACACTGGGTGTATAATGGAATAATACAAAATAATATTTAAAAGTAAGCAATGTCACATTCAGCATGACATCTTGTTATGTCTCACTCTATCTGTCCTATCTGAACAGTAAGTCAGTCCCCACCTTTATCTGACAGGTACGCTACAGAAACCCTGACTGGCTTTGAAGCCATGATGCCCGCCTCACCAACGCCCAGTGTTACAACACTGCATAAGAAATGATATGCAGGAGGTATCTTTGAATATTCATGACCAAATCCACTGGCTTTTTGTGCTGTAGCATTAATTAATTGCTCGAGGGGAAGCTATACCCAAATAAGGAGCTGAAGTGCTCACTGCTGAAACACTGCAATTCCAAAGAAAGCATTATAAAGTGACAAAACTATGATACAGTATGGATCTTTCAAACAACATGGGATGCATATGTACTTATACATATTTGACAATTAACAGACAACAAGAGTTTAAGCAAAAAAGAAAATCAAGCTTCTTTATTGTGAGCTGAAATCCTCTCTGATAGGCAAGCCAGTCTTGAAAAAAATCTCCCTTTGTTTAGGATTTGTGGATATATATATATGTGCCATTAAAGATGTATGAATATTCAAGGGGAAAGATGGTTGAAGAGTCCCAATCATCTCCTACACAGTTGCTCTGGCAGTTAAAAGAGTGCCGCTGAGAGGAGTTTCACTGTGAACGACATTAGCATGCCTTTGAAACAAGAGACCTTGAGTATGAATAAGGGCTTTCCATACACACTTTGGAATGTAATTTATATGCACAAACTGAGGTGTGAGGCCAGAGGATGTTAGAGGGGCAGAAAGGATCCACTCGGTACAGGTGTAGCTTTCACTGGCCAACAATGTAATACCTGTTTTTATACAGCCAATGCCTCTTTACACATCAGTAAGTTCTTCTGAACTTACAGACGCCATTGAAACGGAAAGTATGAGGTGTATAGATAATTGGATGCTCTGCTTGTACTTTTATATATATATATATCCTCTATGATCTTGAAGAAATGTGTTTCCTCATCAAAGAGGTTTTGTTTAATGTTTCAAGCCGAGCACCAATAAAAGTGTTGATTTTCAACTGTTTGTTTGATGACCTGAGTTACTTTTTGTGCCACTGCCACCGGTGACCTATGTGCTCAACTCTCTGAATTATGCATGGTGATTATACGATGTAGTCCTCTGAATTGTAAATTCTCACAATTATACAGCCCATTGTCTATTCATTATTTCAAAACGAATGGGAAATTATGTAAAACTATCTCTAAAGAGGAAAGCAGCGTGTAATATGACTTGCCATATTGTTCATGCAATTCAAATACTTTGCTTTTTCTGAGAGTTGAAAGTAATCTGATTTAAATGAAATCTGACTTGCATGTCATGTGGGATTATGATACATTTGGAAGATAAGCTATGATAACTACACTACGTGCCATGAGGTGAGAGCACTCAGGCAAAGAGTGTTTTCCAATTAACTTAAACCTCCCTCAAGGTTAAATATACAAGTGTTGACTGAGAGTCGAACTTATCTTCTTTACTCGACCAGACGAGTGAAGGACTTCGATATGTCCTGCAAACGTCTCTCTGCTCCTTTTTCTTTTACAACCCCTCACATAAGCAGAACATACAGTATACACATGTACTGTATATTCACACAGGTTACAAAGCTACTGTTTCATTTATAAATAGTCAAAGAAAGATTTTTCTTTAGTTTGAGGCATACAGGCCATTAGTTCCAGGACGCTAAACTAAAACTGGTTTTGCTGTCAAGGCCTCCAAACTCTGGAGCAGCCTTTCTGTTTCAGCTTGCTCATTCACTTCCTTTAAATCTCTCATAAAACCAATTTTTATAAACATTTCCGCATGCACTCTGTCACTTCTAATGTCCTCCTCCACTCAAAAATGCGTTTTGTTTATTGTTTCTCCAGCTGGATGTTTGATCTTCACTGTGCAGAATGATGTATCTGCAGTTTGACAATAGAAGGCTTCATATTCATCTGATTATCTGTGCTCACCTCAAATCTGAGTTCATAACGTACAAAGCATGATTTTGCAACATCATGACAACGAAAGCCAGTCATGGCTCAATATGTAACTTGCTCTAGATTGATGTGGAAACTTGAAGCCTCCAGTGTACAAACACTGAGAACAATCTTTTCAATGAAGTCGGAGACATTTTGTATCCTGGCATTAAACTCAGAATGAAAAACATTTGCATATTCATCGAAATTCTGAATTATCTATGGTGTAGATGTAGTTTTACAATTCTTAAACAGAAAAAAACATATCAGACACAAATTACTGTCGGAAAAAAACTATTTTTATGTGTCTTAAAACATGTCTGGAGGGAATCTTTAATTCATTTGTATGTAGTTTTCTGTTTTTACATAAAGTACTATGTGAGTTTGGCATAAAAAGTCTGAAAAAAAGGTTGTTATTATTAGGTTTTAAACTCCTTTTTTGTTCTATACCATTCTGCTATGTTCCGTCTAGTCTGGTTCTGTTCTGTTCTATCGTGTTCTGTTCTGTTCTCTTACACTCTATGTTATTACCAGGTGGTTTTCACACATGTCACTATTACCACAGCATTGAGTGATGTCTTTGTACAGTTCTTCATAGATTTTTTAAAGCCCAGGATCTGGCATGGCCCGCTGCTTCCTGTCCCTCCTCCTCCTCTTCCTCCTCCGCCTCCTCCTCCTCTGGAAGTGTTACCCTCTCATCCTCTATCTCCCCTCATCCGCTATTCTCCTCCTCACCTCCTGCTGCACTCCATCCCTCTGCTGAGCACAGGTATTTGTTTAGGAATCTCTCGGTGGAAATTATACTCCATCTCCGGCGCTCCCTATCAACACACAATTATCATGGGCAATCATGCAGAACAGTGCTGAATTCAGCTGGGACTCTGATGACATTACTGACTGCAAGGCCCGGCTTCTCCTGGAGGTAGCCGGCCTGCTCCACACCTGCATTAAACCTTTCTCACTCCCTCTCTCTCTCTCTGTCTTTCTTGCTCTCTCTTCCTCCTCCCTCTCTCTCATCTTTCTCGTCCTCTCTCTCTCTCTCTCTCTTTCACACACTCTCCCTTGCATATGGAGATAAATTATTAAACTTTTTTTTTTTATCTTATTAGGAATTAATTTAAACCAAGAAGTCCAACACATAGGAAGTCTCTTTCCTAGGGGAGACTGGGCTGGTAGGACCACTCCAACCTGACAGGACAAATTCTGAGATCTTATCTCACAATTTATTTGCATCTGCCAACCTCTGTGCCTTCTTTTATCTTTTTTGACCTGCAATGGCTTACCTCAGTGTTGCTTCTCAAATGGTTGAGCTGCAGTTTGGTGCTGCTACTATCTCGGTGTGTGGACAGCAATTTGAAATTTGAGAAATTTGGAAGTGTGAATTTCCAACCTATAGTGTCTTCTGTAAAAGCAAAGTCAATCTCACAAAGTAATCAATGCCTTACTTTGTGTCGCTGCCTCCTGCATTCTGAGGCAAACCACAGATGCATTTCCCTATGTATGATAAGTACATTATAAAGCTCGAAAGGCAGAGTTGATACAGACACATGAGAATCGGCACAAGAGTCCATTCAGATCCTGATCAAATGCTCCATTCATGAGTGAAATTACCATCCGTCTGTCAGCCAAGGTGTGAATTCTTTCATCTACAGATCCTACCTCTGAAGTTGTGATTAAATGCATAACGCCACATACACTCCACATAGACTTGAGATAAGCAAAATAGGATTTCTGCTGCTCACAGTGCATTTTGATGTGTAAATGAACAGTGCCCTCTTGTGGTATTTTAGTGCATTTTTTCAGACCCTTTTTCACATAGTCAGTTTAGGTGTTCTCCTGATTGGTCAGGCTGTAAGCTGTGCCAACAATTTTGTATATGGAATAAATTGAGTATTGTTGCATCTTAAGAGCTTCTTTTTTTGTCAGTGTGCAGGGAATTTTTCTATCAAATAAGACCTGACACTATTTTTAGAAATGAGTGTAAATCCTTTCACAATCCTTTGAACTTGTTACAATAACAAAAAGATACATTTTATTCATCAAAGCTTGCCTTCTCCTCATCTTTTTATTGGCCAACAGATATGAAGTTTTGTCAGAATCTCACAACACACTTAACAACTCAAGGAAGAACCAGACTGGTGGTACAACTAAAACAAAAAACTCAACAACAGAACATAAACAGTTACATACACTCAACACAAAGTCAAACTGGAAAACATATGACCAAATAACAGCAGTTTCAGGCTATGTACAGAAATAGTAAAATAATACTGCAGAAAAAGCAGAAAAAATAAGCATGATACACTATGTAAAATATTAATATTTGATTATGTTACGGGATAAGTCTAATGATATTCCATATAATTCTTATTATAAACTAAAAAGACCAAAACCAACAATAAATGGATACTAAGTGTCTCTGTTACCAAAACATGATATAAATTATTTATCTGTGCCATAGAGCTCATTGAAAAAAATCTACCATTCACTCATCATTTGCTAAAAACCACAGTGCCCAGTCTCAAGAACTCATTTATCCTTTTTTTAAATGAAAGGTTACATTTGTGATCTGTTTGAAGAATAAAACTTCAGTGTAAATTAATGGTTTTGGACCTGAGTGTCACAATACAGATAAGATGGGGAAGTTAGAAAGTATCAGTTTTGATCTTTTCATTGGATTTGTGAACAGTGACAAAAATTATAACATATCGTCAACTGTACCCTGAACATTGACAGCAGAAATAGCTGCTGGCCAGGTGTTTATTCCAGAAACACTGACTTCGATTACTGTATATTGTGCCAACCCCTGCAACCCACAGAATATAAAACACATCATGCCACATTATAAGCTTTTTACTGTGAACTTTTGTATAAGAGTTTTAAAAACCGCTATACAAAGTCATACATACATTCCTAAGCATCAACTGCTGGTATGAATTTCATGAACATGAATCCTCACAACCTCAGACAAGATTCAAACAAAAGTGTTAAGCACCACAGGTATTTATACTGATCATGCTCGAAGAGAATTCCTCATATAGTCCACTAGCTCAATTGAATGTTGCTCAGGGTGGAGAGATTATGATGCCAAGCTCAACAATGGTTGTAATGTTTTTATCCTGGAACAAAATGCGGAAGACTGTCAGATCCTTTACACCACAGAGATGCCATATAGTATCTACAGAGTCCTGCTTTTACATGGCAGACAAAATTGGGAAATTATCAAATGTCTGGTGATAAAAAAATAAAAATACAGGAGGAAGAAAAACACTTCTCAAGCCCCCACTCTTCCTCTAACCTGCTGCTGGTTAGAGTTAGTGGTAATGAACCTTGATGGTTTGGCCAATGAGGAGGAAAAGAAAGCCGGCCAGGAGGCAGAAGAAGATGCCAACAGGGGCAAACATGAAGGACAGACCATAGTTGAAGGACAGCTGGAAGTCTGAACACAGTGCAGAGCGCTGGTGCTCTATGTAGGCTTCCATCACACCCAACACCTGCAGCCACAGTACGTACATCACCACCACACACAGCAGGACAAGACCTGGTGCAGAGAACAGGCAAAGAGACCACGATGATTGAAACACACTTTATATAAACCAAAGGCTCCAAAACAGGCTATAAATGAATATTTAACCAGTGGTGGGAGTAAGAGCACCAAGACAACAGTGTAAAAGTACATAATTACAAGTAAAAGTTCTGCATTTAAAATGTATAATCAGCTAAATACAATGAAGGTATCAACATTAAAACTAAACTTGAATTAAATCTACTTGTTCTGTGGAAAAATGCCATCTTCACTTCACAACTCAAGTGAAGTTCTAAATTGCATGTAAGTGTATTAGGTTACTTTCCACCACTGGATTTAACAATTTATTTCAAAGCCTCACCAGATGCCAGGAAGAGTCCGCCTCCTGCTTTATACAAGCGATGGCTGGCGAATGGAGCAGCACAGATGATGACGAACCCACCGAGCACAACAGCTGCCACACCAATGAGCATGAAGATGCTCCAGAATCCTCTGTAGACTGGAAAACAGAAAGTTGTATATACAGCCAGTAGATCACTGGAGAATATAAACTCTATCTGCACAAATAAAAGCAAATCTAAACAAATAAAGAGGCACTTACTTATGGCATAATCATAGTCTGTGGCATTGTGGGTCTGATGAGACACTGGGAATGGGTAGAGGTAGCCGTGCATGCACACTTTTGAGTGAGGCTGATTTGCTGGAGAGAGAAAGAATAAAGCAACACAGAAAATAAATGAGAATCTAATCGTACAAGTAAATAAACACAGGACATCACTTACGAATACAATATAATTATGAAGCAAACAACATAACAGTAGAGTTTTTGTCATAAAAACATCAGATATGAGCAATAAAGAGAATATTCTGTTTTTTACACATTGATGATTCACATTTCATTTGTCATTTCTAATTTTATTACTTTATAAGTTTGTAACTTATTTGTTTTGTCAGTTGCAGACTTTGACCGCTCTGTCCCTTTTTACTATCTAGTCTTTTATGGATTGGGAAATAAACTGAATTTGACAACAGAGTGACAAAAAAGTTGTGATCATTTTAGACTTTTTCTCTCATGTTTTTATATTCTCCCCTCGTCTCTCCTCCCTTTTCTTCCACCATGTGAAATACCACAGACCCTCACAAGGTCCTTTCAGTGCTGGAGGCTGTTTCTGACAATGACCAACCATTCAAAGTCCCCATCAGAAAATAGACGACGCACAATCACCTGACCAACGACCAGAATAACATCACATGGCACAGCATCTAAACAGTCACATGAGAGGCTTTCTACCACTGGGGCGACATACAAGTTTTATTGACACAATAACAGCGAACCAGAAGCTGACATTTTTTCTGCAGCGGAGTTACAGTGCTGCGGTGGTTTCCTGCACTCACCAGTGATTGGCTTCAGAGGACAGAGAATAGGATCATTTAAGAGAAATTATAAAGAACATTTGTCTTCCTTTTTATTTGTATCTTAAATGGTTTTAATCAGTAGACCTACTCTATACTTAACCCTAATGTTCATACTTAGTACTATTTTATTATCTTGATACCTGATTTAATTTGGTAGGAAGTGTTAATTGCTTGATAAGTATGAGTTTGAACTGATGATGGATTAGGTGTAGCGCATGAACACCATGGATTTTCATCAGCTCTCTATATCTGTGATTGGAGTTGACAGTACTTTTTACAGTATCTCTCAAATACCAAACCATCCTTTTTGGATTCCTGTCAACATTTCCTTGTCTGTGAATTACTTTTTGTTTACATAAAGCCCATAAAACATAATATGTTTCCTTATTTGGAGTAACAGCAATACTCTATGGGAATAATTTTCTGTACTTAGTAGTTTACTTAGCAGTTTGTAGCAAAAGGAAGGATTACCACTTCAATAATTTTCTCCACTGGCTTTTAATGAGGAGAAAATAAACAAAATAGTTAAAGTAAAATAAATTAGTTGATTTTGTTTGATTACAAAGCATTGGAAAAGATGAGAAAGTTAAGCCAAAGCCAATAAAGCACAAGGGTTAGCCACTGGAACAACACCATGTGTCTGTCTCACTTACTGAACCACAGCTTCCACAGCAGGTTTTCATCACCTGCGCTGCCTCCAAATGAACACCTCCAGAAAAAACCCTCGTGGTACAGAGTGATATCACTAATGTCCTCCTGCACCACCACATCTCCACGCTGAAAGAATGGATAAAAAAAGATTAATTACTTATCACTAAACATATTCTGACTATGAAAAGTCTGTACAAAATAGGGTTTGTATTTGCATCATTATGCATGCACTTCATGTTATCTGTTGATGTAATCAAAGGCTGGGAGAAGTCTCAAGATCATGTGTGGCAGGTGTGCAGCATGTTGCCACAGTGGCACAGAGCAGCTGCTAAGTCAGGTCAAGGATTGAGCTGAGCAAGCACCTCTAACCTCGTACAGGTTTGGTTTGGTCGCATGTGAGTGAGTGTGCAGGCCAAGGGTGTTCCCATTCAGGAAACACTCATCACTGGTTGTAACTATTTTTGCACGTGAGCAAAAAGAGGCATCCTAAATTGCCTGTTATGTCATCCATAAAATACCTCAGAGTACCAAAGTGTATTTTATTTTGAAATCAACCTTTTAAGACCTTGTTGAACGATTGCATTGCTGGTTTGTTTTTTTAAAAATCAGATAGAAAAGACACCTATTAATACTGTAGGACAGTGCCTCCCAGCATGAGGGTCAGGAACCCCACTTAGACTGATACTAAACCTGTGATGTAGTGTCACAGAGAGAGAAACTGCCTTGTTTGAAGGTGACAGAAGCCTAAAAAGGTTGAAAAACAGCGCTATAGGATGCTGACACTCCTACTAAACTGTGCACTTTTCACACCTTATATATTATGTAATATAATGGATAATACTTGTCCAGAATTATGGTTGATTAAATGGTAAATTCTTGCATTGCATTACAGTATGTACTACGTACTTTGGTTTTATTGTGGTGATATCATGTCTCAGTTCCAGTATCAGTGCCCACTATGAAAAGTTAGGTATGTTCCAGTCGGTGATATTTAATACAGTACCACTGGGACTACTGGTATTTGTATTTCTATCATTGGGGCACATGGTACAGGCTATGTCTCAATCACTGCATAGCTGCACACACGCTACATTAAACAGTGTCTGGTTACATGAAGACGTCATGCAGGGATGCCTCTCCACCCTACGGTTCATCTAAGAGAATGATAGGAACAACTGATCACAGTTTCCAATTTAAAAAGACTTTGATTCTAGTTTAAAGGTCCACCATTAAACACTTGTAAGTATTTTATTGTGGGGATATAGAGTGCCGCTTCACAATACACATAATACACTTAACAATAATAGAATCACTGGGATTATTTCTTCTCTTACAGCCAGGGCACCTAACTTAAGTTCCTGGGGTTATAGCATTTTTTACCTATAAACACATGATAACTATTAACTAACTAACAACTAACTATCTTCTGAGCCTCTATGATCTGCTGCTGTTTGAACACCCACCTCTATGGTCACACCACCTGGGCCAACAGATCCGTCAGGGTTTGGGTGGCAACTCTCTGAAACCAGCAGCCAGTAATCAGTTCCAAACGAGAGGAGGATGAACACAGCTGCCAACGCCCCAAAGAGCCCAGCGAAAAACAACGCCACGCTAAGCTTCATGGTCCAGGATTGACTCAGCTACTGGATGCCCACACTCAGTCTAACTTTCCCCTCCAACTACAGCAAGTGCATGTGACAAGCAGAGGCAGAAACTCCTCTTGCACTGTAGTACATCCACTGAATAAGATGGGTTTCCAGCTGGTTTATCAGGGGTTACTGGGTTTTGACTCCTCTCCTGTCCCTCTGTCCGTGTTATGGGAGGACAAGGTTGAGCACATGACTCCTCTGGGCCCTGCTGGGGTCTGCACACAGCCCCCACCCTCCCAGCATACCACCCCCTGGGCTATTTTGGGGGGTCTGATTGAAGGCGGCTGCTCCTCTCCACTGTGGGGTTGAGTGTGTGCAGCAGTTGGAGAGTGTGAAGGGAGGGGATCAACGCAGAAATAACCGGTGGCAACTGGACACCCACCGTATGCACGGGAATGTCAGGGCAGGGTGAGACTGAAAGGACAGAAGAAGAGTAAAGTATCCCACAACACCCAGCTCAAAGCTTCTAAACAGACCCGTAAACAGACCCGTAAATAGACCCACACACACACACACATCAGTATCATTTCCTGTAAATGGGTGTGATGAAAATTACTGTAACAGCACCTATAATTTTTGGGGATTTTCAGTTGTATCACACTCAATGATCATAGACTTTAATTAGCAATTATCAACTGAAGCTTTATAAACAGATAAATTAGTAATTATAGAAATTATGTTTAAAATAAAACGTGTGGCCTTTTAGCCGTTACTGTAACTGGTGTCACATAAATGGCAGTTTTCTTACTTGAAGTGTGTCTAGTTATTTATTTAGTCTTCCATCAATACATGTTTTAAGTATAATCTGAAACAAATCGGATTTTGTGGTTAGTAACAGTCAGTGTGAGTTGAGGGAACATCTGCTTTATTAGCATCCAAGGGGCATATTTAGCAGGGAACCTACATGTAGACACTGGCAAATTTACACACCGATGTGACCCAGGACCACCCTCAGCCAGAGACACCCCACCCACATCCACTGCTAGCTTTTTAACCTTGAAGATAAAAATGTAATGTGTAATATAAAAACACAGAATTAATCTGAGTTATTCTGTGAGCATTCAACATATCGGTACTAAAAAGTGTGACAAATATATTTGTTGTTAGAATTAGAAAACTGTACTTCCTCATATTCAGTGGCCCCACAACCCCGGATCTTATTTCTCAGCACCATGCAAGGTGGTAAACAGAAAATGAAAGACTGCTGGTTAACTGTTCAGGAAGCTCAGGAAGTAACCACCCTTTAAAATAAATTGGATCATAGCTACAGGTTCTTATTCTTAAGTCTTACTGTATGTTTATGATATATGATATTTATTAATATCTTTTAAGAATAATTTCAAAGTGAGTCATTCTAAGAAAGAGGTTATCAAAGTCTCAATGACACAATTTCCTACAATTTCTTGTCTAAACTAATTATAAATTAAGTAAAGAAGTTGTGGTAGTGATTGTACTACTGTTTAAATGGAATATAACTGTAGAAATGCCTCAGTTTGTCCAGCAGGTGGTGTAAAAGTAGCAATCAAACAAAACTCTCAGTTAGTATAAATGATAAAGCTGAAAACAAAATTCATATGTGAACAATGTGAATTATAAGTGCCTTTATTTATTTTTGTATTATGTATTTATTATTTATTGCTTTGTTTAGGATTTTTAAAATGTGTTGAGTGAGCAGGTATTTTGGTGTTTGCTACTATAGTATAAGGCCTTCGGTATACAAGTATCTAAGAGTGCTGCAATATATACAAATATATGTAACACAAAAAAACAACAAAAACAAATAAATGCTATTCACTTCCGTGACGTCAGCGGACGATACCAACTGTGAGCGCAGCCGCGGGGGAGTCAGACCAGACAACCGGGCAGGTCATCACCTGAGAACTCAACCGCGACTCGAACAGTCAGCTTCATCGGAGGCCGTACACCGACCGCTGGTCTTAACAATTCAGCTCCTTTCATACATGTCGCATTTGTGCGGAAGGTTTAAAGCGAGCAGTTTATCTCCCCCCCTGTGAGTCGGAGCTCCGCCAGGACGCGTTTTCTGTTTGGATCATTTACAGTAGAGCGGATGAGCGCTTCCGCCTTGGCTATAGCCGTGCTGTCACAGCGGGAGGATGAACAACCAGAGATGTAGCACTTTATTTCAGAAACCAAGAGGACGGACGAGCATTATTCAATGTATCTATGTGGTGGGCTTCATGGTGAGTAGCTAACCGAGGTTTGACGGTGCCGCTTTCAGCAGGGAGGGGACTGTTATTTCATGCTTTCGTAACTCAAAGGTGAGGTAAAAATGAAACCCAAAACATTGCACAAGTCAGATTTTAGAGATGTGCTTCGAGTGTCTTCGGGGTGATTGTTGGATGTAATACTGTTCATTTCAAAACACAGGTCTTAAAAGTGTCTTAAATGTTACCCTTGCACTGACACCTTAAACCCTCACCTGTCACAGGCTCCCTACCTGCAGAAAGATAATAAAACTTTAATGTAACTCTGATATCTGCAGTCACTTTTTTTCAAATCTGCAATAGCTACTGTACTATAAAACATTATATAGTACAGTTCAATGTATATTTAAAATATACAAGTATATAAAGGGCCAGTAGAAACTCAGAATGCGGGGGGAATTGTTTTCTTCTTAAAGAAAGAGCCTATCTAATCTGCAAGTACTCCTTTCTGACCACTAAACGTAAAAACAAAGTAATGTGATCTATGCATACAAATATATTTTGTGTGTCTGGGTATTTTGAAATGTCACCCTAAATGAATTAGGTGTGTAGCTACTAAATAAGGGAGCTGTTATAGAAGGTGGCAGGTTGTTTTGACACCCCTGAGTGTGTTGAGGGTCACCTCTTCAAAGCATCACTGTCAGTAAAACATGTTGCAACGTGGGCTTGTTCTTCCTTGAATTTAATGCTGTAACCCCGTATTAGATATCTCATAGTTTATATACAAGCAATCCTGTGTGATCGTAAAGACGATGGGACTCCAGCGCTGACCTGCAGTCATGCTTCAGAGAACTAACTTTACATCTCGAGCTGCATAGCTGGCTAATGATCATCTAATTAAAGGTGACTAAAAGAAAGCAGGCATCTCCCATTTTTGGCAGGGGGAGCAGACACAAACTGCTGGGGACAGTAATGCTTCTGAAAGTTAAGCAATTAGTGTAATGAGTTGTGGTAGAACACTGTATGAAATGCTGTGTGACTTCAATCAAGAATTTGGCAAGATCTGCTCCCATTTCAGCAATGCAGATCAACAGGATGAGCGCTGACTTTCTGCAACTGCTGCAACCACCACTAAACTCTCAGTGTTTGAACACTCGACACTGGCTTTACATTTATCTGATCCTATGTGTCGTTTTGTTCAGAAGTTTATGGTGCGATGAGATCCTGATAATGACAGCTGGATACCTCTGGGCTCATTCCTGCTCCTCTTTCTTTCTGCTTCACATCCTTTTGTTTTCTTTAGGACTTGTTTGGGGTGAGCATGATCATCCCGCTGCTGAGCCATCATGTGAAAGCTCTTGGAGCAAGTCCCACTGTGGCTGGGATCGTAGGTAAGATATGTCTACTGCACACAGTAATGTGTTTAACTTACATTGTAGGATGTGTACTGCAGGGTCAGCCCTTAGAGTGGATGTCTAATTAGGCAGCAAACTGATAAGCTCTGAAAAGTCTTTAAACCACATGACCAACCAAATAACGATCTTAGAGGGTTAACGCAGACATAAAGGTAATTAATCTATAGTTTTATAAAGTATTATAAACAACTGCTAACAAATCATTTGCAATAACAAAGTAAAACGCACTGTCACAGTGTGTTTGACAGTAAATATTAGAGCTGAAACGATAAGTTCATGAATGATTCAATTAGTCAACCAAATACAGAAAAGTTGTGTTGGTTGGTTGCTTTGGTGTTTTCCTCCTTTGCATGTGTTTTGTCTATTTGTATGTGTTTTTCATAAGTTCTCAGCTCCCAACAAGAAATTCAAATATGTCATCTTGGGCTGTAAGAAAGTGTGATTCACATTTTGTAACATTTTCTGTCATGTTACAAAGTAAACGATTAATAAATTAGCTAAAAATAAGATAAATTCATGATAGAAAATAATAATTTGTTGCAGCCCTCGTAAATATAATGTTAAAAATGTGCCTTAAAGTTTCAGTTAGATTTCAGTTACTGTGTGTGTGTAATGAGAAATAATGTCCAACCCCTGTGCTGTAATTTTTGTTTCCTTATTACATATGACTAACACATTAGATGGTGTTAAGTGACAGTTAAGTCACAACAGTACTTTGGCATCTTGTACTGTTAAAAGATTTAAATACTTTTTTGTCAGCATCGTCTTAGCTTTATATGAGGTTCAGTGGAACCCGCTTGGTGTCTGCTCTGTGCTTTATATTACAAATATGAATTAAAACAAATATGAAACTGTTGCAGGGTCGACATATGGGATCTTACAGCTCTTCTCAAGCACAATAGTTGTAAGTATTGATTTTGTTTATCTCTAAAAAAACGAACTATGTAAAGTCTGTCTCTGCCTCTAACGTCTCTTCAGCCTCTCCTGCTTGACAAGGCACGCTCACAGTTAGCGGCCAAAATGGTTGCATTCCATGTCATCTCCGGTATTTCATGAAAACAATAAACACTGTCTGTTTCAGGTTGGTTGTGGTCGCACAATACACCCAGTCTCTGCACATTCACACACACACAAGCTTCTTCACATTAGCCACAGATATCACTCCTTTTACATGGAAATTATAATTTTTTTAACCTTTTAACACCCCCTGACTGGACACTGAGGAGCTGTTTTATCAGTGAAGTAACCTTTGGATGTTAAATGAAAAATCAAAGCCTTTGTGATGAAACCATGTCCAAACTGTTAATAAGTCTAAAAAAGACACAGTACTCTACAATAAGCACTGCATCTGACACAAGATTCTCAGCTTTCCATGTCTCTCTCCTGCCGCCCACAGCTCCTGTAATTGGTTTAATTCTCAGGGGTCATGCGACAAATTAAACAGATAAGGACTCGTCTGTTGGTTCCTGCGTGCAGACCAGCTGAATCCTGATAAACGCAGGGATACGTGAACAGCCGGGTCTCTATGATAATCCCACCAGGCTACATCCAGAACACAGCAAACTCAATTGGTCCTTATTTCATTATTTCATCAGATGTGTGTGTGTATGTGTGTGTGTATGTGTGTGTGTGAGAGAGAGAGATGGAGAGAGAGAGAGAGAGAGACAGGGTGAGAATCTAATAAAGACTTGTATAACTGCTTCAGCTGCTTGGATGACAGGAAATCCAGGGTTTTGGGATTTCTGTTACATTAGTATTTCCATACGTATGTATGGAGGTACTATTCTCTGCTGTCTCTATTTGTTGATATGATTGATGTTTCAAACGATTGTACAAAATATCTTTTACAGAATGGGAAATTTGGTTTGATTCGTGTTTGTGGTTGTGCGTCACTTCCTGTGTGTGATTGGCAGGGCAGCTGGAGTGATGTGGTGGGACGGCGGTACTCTCTGCTGACCTGTCTGCTGCTGAGTGCTATAGGCTACGGCCTGCTCGGGATGTCCACCAGCATCGCTTTGTTTGTCCTCGCACGGATACCTGTCGGTAAGTCAAGTCATATTAGGAAAAGCACATGTCTAAACAATCAAATTAATGACGGCTGAATTCGATTTAACTGCTTCACTTTCAGTGCTAGCTCACTGTCATGACTTCCTTGGATTTTTAAAGGTCCAGTGTTGAACATTTAGGAGGATATATTATCAGAAATGGAATATAATAATCATAAGCTTGTTTTCATTAGTGTATAATCATCTAAAAATAGGAATCGTTGTGTTTTTGTTACTTTAGATTGAGAAGTTTTTATCTACAGAGGGAACTGGTCCTCCTCTGAGGAGTCTGTCATTTTGAACCAGTAGCTCAAAATGGACAAACCAAATGCTGGAGGGTGAAGCAAGGGCATAGATGTGACTCAGCGACTGTCAAAAAACACCCATTGACATCAATAGATCTGTATTTTCACATTATTTGTTCCTCATATATTGGCTTAACAGCTTGTAGCTTAAACCAAGTGTCTTTCCAATTTTACAAAAGGGACGAAAAAGAATATTGACCCCATTGTCTCACAATATGTATTTGTAATCTCTAAAAAAATAGATTAAATAATTTGGCTTAATTTTCTTTTTGGGGTTAACATCTCATTCCAGTACCAAAAAACATTCCTGATCACTCTTTTTTTCGCTCTTGTAAAAAAAGTAAAAAATGTAATTATGGCAGGTGGTATGAGACTTTATATGACATAACAAAATTATCATAACTTGCACAAAGCTGCCACCTTATTCTTAAAAGCCAGATCACTCAGCTTCTTACTATCACTGTTTGTTGACTGTTTTTTGTCTCAGGGCTGTTCAAGCACTCCCTGTCCATCTGCAGAGCCCTGCTGTCTGACCTGGTGTCTGAGTCAGAGCGCCCTCTGGTGATGGGACACTTCAATGCAGCCTCCAGTGTTGGCTTCATCCTGGGTCCGGTGGTGGGTGGCTACCTCACGGAGCATGAAGGTGGCTTTTATACCTCCTCTTTTACCTGTGCAGCCATCTTCATTATTAATGCAGGTTGGTAGAAACTGGAGAGAAACAACTCATTTAATAGAGCCCCCTTTTTTAAAATATGTGTCTAACATTATGTGTATATCGTTCCAGGGCTGGTATGGATGCTACCATGGAGCGAGACGCTAATTCACCGTAATGAAACTAACGCCAGCAACAACGCAAGTAAAGGTTGTCATGATAACAACTGCAGTAAGTCTGTTCTCAATGGCTCTCATGCAAATAGTCACCACCCAGTGTTGGCTGCAGAGAATGATCCAGGCTCCAGAGCGGCAGGGAGTCACCGAGGTGGTCTCAGGTGGAGGGAGTTCTCTCTGCTCCAGCCTGCCTGGAGACAGCTGTCTTCAGTGGGCTCCAAGATCCACATGGTGGCCTCTTCTGACATGTGGGACCTCTTCCTGGTGCGTCTTCTGATGGCCATAGCTATCATGCTTTACTACAGTAACTTCTCTCTGGCAATGGAGGAGCGTTTCTCACTTAAACCAAAGGTGACAGGTTATCTGATCAGCTATAGCAGCACCTTAGGGGCCCTTGCTGGGTTCTTGGTGGGGCCGGTCACCCAGCTGTATGGGAATAATATGCCTGCTCTGCTCCTTCACTCCACAGTTCTCACCTGTTCACTAATTTTACTCTATGCTGCCGCGCCCAGTGTGTGGCAGGTGCTGCTCACCTCCACCTTCTTTGCCATTTCCACCACTATTGGACGGACATGCATCACAGATCTGGAGCTGCAGAGAGGAGGGGTCCAGGCCAGTGGGACTCTGATTGGAGCCGGGCAGTCAGTCACAGCTGTTGGTCGAGTCCTGGCCCCTCTTCTCTCTGGTCTGGCCCAGGAGTTCAGCCCTTGTGGTCCCCCCAGTCTGGGAGTGATCCTTGCTCTTGCGGCTGTAGGTTTACTGCTCATCAGGATCCCCAAATGGGACGGGAGAGGGATGACAAAAACAGCCAAACTCTGAGTAACTGGATGAATTTAGAATTTATGAAAATCAATGCAAATCTACCACACAGAGACGTGCTCTTATTTGTTGGCCAGCTGTGATGATGTCCAGCAGACTCATAGTGGGAGCGATGTTTCCTGCTCAAAATGCCAAATGTGTCCGCAGATGTGACTGCACCACAGGGTCAAAATGGCTCGTCACCACCAGCACTGCAGTCCTTCTCTCAGGAAGCATCAAGCGCAGCATCGAGTGTGAAGTAAGGGCTGGGAAGTTTCATCTGCTTCCCCCTGCGCTGAAGTTTAATCGTACAGAAACATGTGGGCCTTGTTTTGGCACATACTACTTGGGAAAGCTTTGCTGGAAACAATTCACACTTTAATGTTATTTTCTAACCACTGCATTGTCCAGAGTCAGCCTGGTGATGATAATGATGTTGATGATGATGTTCACTACAAGTCAAAATCACTTTTACTGCTTTATCAAAATACAATAACAAGATGATCCTCCTTTTACATTCCAGGCAGTTATGCTTCAGACATTCATAAATGAGCTATAGTTGCTGTGGGGAAATCACGCTACCTGACTGTCCCAAAGTAGATCAGACTGTTAAGTAATAATAATAATAATTAACACTTTTTACCTCAAAGCCAGTTGTTTCACCTAATGCACTGCATCGGAAATTCTTCCTTCCGCGTTATATGAGCAAATGTTTGCTCTAGTGTCTGACTCTTGAGTTTTATATTGAAATATTTGCTAATTTATCTTAGGATATGTTTAAATGGAGACTTAAAGACATTGTGAGTTATAACTGTATACTGAGCACCACTGTTAAAATCCCAAATGATATAAATGTATGTAAAGAAGTTGGTGAATCCATGAAGTACATGCCAGATTCATGTCACAAGGAATAAACAAAGTTTACGCCAGTCGACGTTGTTTTGAATTTGTATATACAACACTGAATTCAATGCTGCAGTTTAGATGTTGCATTCAACTCTGTCATACATGCTGTACATACTTCTCATCTTCTCTTCCTCTGTGGGCGGTGTCATCTTTATAAACCTGTATTGTATCCATGGTCTAATTGAGGATGCTTAAAAAACAGCTTTTAACAATGTAGAAAATGTATTGCAGAAAGAAAAAAATGAAGTGGGCCGAGATTTGTGAGGTCCATCAGTGTAACAGACATACAAAAGGCTTACAGATAGTCAGGAGTACTCTATACTGCACAGCAATAAGTCCTCATCTTAAACTAATATGGCCTATATCAATCATACATCTGTCACACACAAAAGGCAATAACATACAAAAAAGTATAGTATTTACATGTAAGGACAAAGAAATAATCACTCAAAATAAAATAGTTTAAATTAGATTGTCTTTAAACATTTAGAAAAAAGTACAAGATAAAAAGTACTTAAAATCACATTGATGTCAACGGTTGAAATAGAATTGGCAGAATGACTCACTGTTGCCATTTCATATACAGTTCCTTCACTACAGTGCACTGTGCTTCTGATGTGGCTGACACCTCTGACTTCAAGATATTACTCTCTAGCCTGGTTCATTTTGGAGGTTGGTTCACCTCTAATAAGAAATAAATGGACCTCCAGTTTTCATGTACTCTGCCTTTTTGTGTTATTAATAGACAGTTTTATGTAGAGACCCTGGAGCGGCTTGAGATCCTGAGATTCAGTCTGTGGCAGGCCAGCTGCTCTCTCAAAGCCCAGGCACACTTTTACTTCCTCTTCGGGTTCCACTGAGGCCGTCTGAGCAGGGGGTTTTGTGCTGTGCTGTCTTGGGGTTCGGCTGCCCAGGCTGGAGTTGGAGACGAAGGCTGCTGCTGCTGCTGTTCCTCCTCTTCTGCTGTTGCTTCATGATGCCCATTTCTGAAGTTATCAGCTGAACTGCTGTCATTGTCAATGGAGGGGGGGAATTGACGGCGAGGAGCAGGTATGCGGGCATTGCTGGAGGAGGAGTTTGTTCTGGACATGCCATGCCCCATCCGGCCTCTCTCCCCTGTGCTTTCATCCAGCACGTCAACAGAGGGCGCCTCTTTTAGAGTGTCCAACCTGTGTAGAGGCATCATAGCTCTGGAGGAGGAGCGCCCAGGCTGCTGAAAACGAGAACGTCTGGAGGGGTAGGCCACCTCTGACATTGTTTCCTGATCATCTGGGACAGGAGAGGAGAGTGGTAAAATTGTAAAGAAACCATTAACTGGATTGAATAATTCCATCAAACCACATTATATTTTATACAGTTGCGTGTACATAACACTTGAATGGTCCTTGATGAATGAGGAAATAAATGTGGTTTTAACCGTTAAACCTCACTGACCTGCGGGTGGCTCAGTCATTCCAAACATATGTTGTGCAGCCAAACATTGTTCAAACTTACATAACTTTATTTATATGAAACGCTGATGGAGAGCTAAAAGTTCCCAAAAGTACAGCTTTGATCTAAATGTTAACTTCAGCATGCCAACCTGCTCACATTGACAATGCTAACATGCTGATATTTAGCAAATATAATGTTTATCATGTTCACCATCTTAGTCTTGCATGACAATACTACATGTCAACTACTGTTTTGATAATTAGCACTACAAAGTACAGCTGAGGCTGATGGGAATGTCATTAGTTTTGCATGGTCAAATAGAAAATCTGAACTTAGGTGACACCAAAGAGAAGTCAGGGGATCAAATCAAAAAATCTTCTCTTGGGGGGACATGAATGTTTATATTAAATGTAATTAAAATCAATGTGAAATGTTTTTTTATACATTTCAGTCTTGAACAAAATTTCACAGTAATCCATCCAGTACTTGTTGAGATATTTCAGTCTGGACCAAAGTGGTGGATCAACTGATGGACTGCTAGAATGGCTAAAGAAGTCCAGTCTTTGAATATTTCCATCTCTGTAGCTAGCCGATACATAAATAAAAACCTGAGCAAGTTCCATTCATTGAAACAGGCAGTGAGATAAAGTCAAAGGCTTTATCTACATAAAGGGAAGTAAAAGGGGAAGGTTGGATGTTAAGGGTAGTTTACCTGTGTAGCTCAGCCTTTTGGGAGGAAATTTTGAGTCCAGACTTTTCCCAGCAGGAAGAGAGAAGTACTTATGAGATTTGGGCACCACCTGAGAATAACATGGGAATGAAAAAACAGAACGATAAGAAAAAGAAGGCCAAGAGAGAAAAAGGAGAATGATGAATAAGGGATGGGATAAAGAAAGGGAACCTTATGTTAGATAATTAACCTGCTTCTAATGAGGTTCAATTATGCTCTCACTTACATACTTTCACTAAAAGACTGAGATATATAGTATATATATAGTAAATATATAGTAATACCAAAAGTTAATTTCAAATACATAATAATAATAATAATAATAATACATAATAATTAGAGTTTTCCTGCTTACCGATGACTGAAAGCTGCCAGGTCGGAGGCTTCGCCGGATGCTGGCATGTCGTCTGATCAGTATCTCTTTTGACTGGCTGTCATTTGGAAGGGCATGCTTATTTGTGTATGCCACCGTCTGGTTACAAAAAAACAAAATGGCACAAGATACAACATTACACCCACACACGCAATATCACACAGCAGTAGGACAGTGGATCCTAACCTCGGGGTCGGGACCCTCACTAGGGGTCGCCAAAGCCTCACAGGAGGTCACAGGGCCTTTTTGTAAAATATATGGTAAACCTACTGTATATCTCAGCATTTGATTAATTTTTGTGAAGAAAACTAAATGAAATTGTTATTTTTAAAGTTAAGATTATTATTTTGCATATAAAAAGGCAAGTAAGACCTGAATTCAAGCTACTTTCACAGATCCTTTACTCTGCTAAACAGCCTAACCAGAGCTCATAGAACAATGAGAAAAAAAAAAAACACTGAATATGCCAAAAAAGGAAACCAATTAAGTATGTAGAATAAATTTTCTTTTCTTTTAAATACAAAATACTGACAGAATTGTATAAAGTTCCCTAAGAATATCAGGAAAACTTCATCTAATACAATATTCACAGGAAATAATCTGCTTAAAATTCATCCAAGTTGCTCGTTTTTCCTTTTTTTTTGTGTTCAGTATTTGGGTTAAACAAAGTGTTATTTTAATAATAATTAATTAATATAATTAGTTCATAGGTTACGTACTGTTATTGTTATATACTGAATATAATAGGAAATATCCATAAAACATGTCACTTAGTCGTGGCTTTTAGTTCAGCCAATAATAGAAAAAGATACCTTAAGATAAAAGGGTGGAAACAACTTCACTCAGGGATGCTTCCCGCTCACAGACTGCACCATTTTGGAATACGTCCTTCCGTAATAAAGTCAGGCTACAGGTGGCCACAATGCCTCAACCTTTAGGTCAATAACATCCACTGACTGTGGAGGCGACAAAGGCTGAGACAAACAGACAGTTAAGATGCTTTGAGAGGAGACAACATTCTTTACAGCTCAGATTACTCAACCAAAACTAGCCACACCTGTTTGAGCCACAAGGGTCTGTGTCTGTATTTGGACTCTCTAGTTGCCACACTAACTTCCTCCATGCACATACCCATCACCGTCAACATAGTTCTCTCTGTCTTTTAGTTAGGGCTAAAACAAACATAACCGCCTATCAAACACTCCCAACGTTGCCATTGTGCTTTAGAGAAATGTTTCATATCAACAAAATGCTCTTATCTACTTCATGAGAGGGCAACATGGTCAGAGAATGGGAACCGGTTTCATGTTCTCTTCTGTTAAAACTGTCAAATAAATAAAAAGACACTAGGCAACACTGTACAAATGCAACAATTCGTGATACGAGTGTTAAAAGGGAACAAAGTGCTCAAGATGTCAAAAAAAAGCTCATGTTAAAACAAATACCACCACAGTCAGAAGGTGACGCAGCGTTTGAGTGAGAGACAGACCTGTAAATATGTGAAGGGACTTGAAAAAAGGGGCTATTAAGATAATCAGACAATCCATCTACCCAAGAACAGAAGCACATGCTCCCTATTTGTCGACACATCAAAGCGCCTCTGTGCGCTTTCTGAAAGGGTGATGTCATTTTACTAATGGAAAAGTACTGCCGGCCACAGTCTGTGGTCATGCAAAACAGCACTGAGTTTCAGTGCTTGGAGTAATCACATAATTGTGTAATAAGGCGTCACTGAAAATCTATCCCAGTTTCCAGTTTCCATAAAACTGAATTTAAAATGATGCCTGTTCGCCATTGCCGATGAGATACGAGCGTGTCCAACAAACTGAGAAGAATCTGATGCGTTATGTGGTTTCATTTTAGAAGTTGGAACATTTTCAGCTATGTAAAGGAACACATGTGAGACTGGGCTGCTGTTGTTAGTCTAAGACAAACAAGAGTTCACATTTCAGACCACTGTATCTACTGTAAGCAGCTAAAGGTTTACTACTACAACAGCTAAATGCATGAAGACTGGAGATCTCTTCCTTTACTCAATCAGACAGTGCCACGTGGTTGTAACTCCTGTATAACGTCTGTGTTTGATGTAGTGGTAACTGCGGCCAATACGACAATGTAAAAATACTCTTACATGTAAACACATAGAAGTATTATCACCAAAATGTACTTAAAGTAACAACAGCAGTTGTTTTGCACCACAGGTTTAATCTTAAATAATGCTTATCATACGTTGGTTTTCATTTAAAATTCTAATCTGTTACAA